ACTAAACTAATACAAAGCGGTGTTTTCAACATGCTTATCATCAATGTCATCTCAAACCAGTGAATGTAGTCTCAATTGTAAACAGCAAAATCAGATAAGCCAGCTCTGGATAGAATAGTAAGCTTTAACATCAAGCGTGTATTTTTTTTTAATTTATTGATTAGTATCACGGCACAATTGGACAGTAAAGCATTAAAGTTAGTTAAGTAGACAACGATCTTGTCTTTCCGTTGTTTCTATTGAAGATTGTTTTAACAATGTTCACTTACGTACGTTAAATGTATTATTCTTTAAAAAATTTGGTATTTAAATCTCTTTTCAAAAATTACTTGTGTGAAGACACGTCTATATTGCGATACAAATACACATCGCATCGCAATAAATTAGTCAGACATGTCTATTTATGATTTATTGATTACATCTACGCATCTGCGCACAATGAGCCTCGTCCGGGCGGCCATTTGCAATCAAGCTAGACGCCCTGGGGTGACTTGAGTTTTCGTAACCGACTATAGAGTTAAACACATTTTGAGATGATTCTCATTATTTTAATAATGTTTGCAATTCTTTAATGAGATTTAATTAAAATAGAGTTAAGTTGTTAATTTTTCTCGCTATACTGATAGTCTAACAAAACAAACACTTAGAAAACGGGTGTGAAGAGAAGTAAAGCGGAGATTTTATCAATGGGTTTGGCGCGCTACCAATTGAAGCGGATGTTTGAGCTTTGAGTCTATCAATGTGAACGTGAAAAAAACGTCGACACTTAAAAAACAATATAATTTATTAATTAGTAAAAAGTTTTAAAAACCTGACTTTTTGAAAACTTTTCCAAAATCCTAAAAATCTATCTCTGGGTGTTAGACCTGTAACTCGCATTCACCTTCAGTCCATAGAATGAACGGGAATAATCCCATCTCTTGTTCCCACTATTGTGACTCCTCTATACCAGGATCTACAGCTCTCCTGCCAATAGAACAACGGAAGACAGATTACTGAATAAATCTCTACAAATCTCATTCATAGAAAAACTTGGACAAAATTAATACATAGAATGGTTTTAGAGGTATACTACTTTAAAATGAAACAAGATAATATAGGTACTTAAAAAATATTTAGGGCCTAAGGGTGCCACGATGGGCCCAAATGAGGCGTAATCGAGATGTCCAATTTTAAACTACTTTCTCGAGCAACTGGGCAATTACGCTACGAATGTTGGTATTAAAGTCCGTAGTTTTTCTGCGAGGAAGTGTGACTTCACATATCTCTATAGAAAATAATCCACAGATGTGAGATCACATGATTGTGGAGGCGAATTCACAGTTCCATTACGTGAAATTATGCACTCATCGAACGTTTCCTGTAAGAAATTGAAGGTGTCGCGTGCTGGTTGGATGGTTACACCATCTTGATGAAACCATAGCTCTGCCACATCAATATCATTCAACTTAGAAATAAAAAGTTACGAAAATTACGTCGAACGTAATATGGACGTTTGTATAGTGATCTGGGCCATGATTTTCAAAATAAATGTTTACACAATTGCAAGCGTTGTTATGAAGTAATTCTATTTTATCATGAAATGTCAATACATATTGACCATTATAAATAACTTGAAAAGTTTGAGATGCGACTCTTAACGCTAAAAATTAAATAACTACATATTGACCATATTGGCCAACTATAAAATTGAATATCATTAGAAACAGTGTAAGCAATTTAAAGTTGTATACCTCTAAAAAAAACCCGTTACCAATCACGTGAGCTGTTGTTACGTCTTATCTAGCAGTAAAATCAGCAGTAAATGTATAGGTTTTTCCCTAGCATGCAAAGATATTGGGGATACAATTAATAGCGGCTATAGATCTTTGCTGAATTAACGAATTAGAATACGTACCCAATCCCTAAAAACTGACTCCACACCACACAATACGTGTTACACCTATTGGACGGTGGTGTGACATATAAAACTTAATTACTAATTAACATGTTTGTTCACATACGTCCTGCGACATGGCTGCTATACGACTGGCATGGCGCGCTGCGGGAGAGCGGGTGAACGAGGACTCAAGTCTCAAGAAATCAGGTAAGCCAGTTTTTGAGTCACACTAGATATTCTAGACAACAATATTTTAGTAACTTAATGGTACGATTGATAACTATTTATTTATTTAATCGTAATACTATTAAAATCTTAATTTTAATATAACCTAAACTAAAAGTAATTTCGTTAAAAATACTTTACCATAAATCTGAGCTTAATACATAAGTATAAATAATGTACACGTTCTATACATAATGTTCGAAGGCACAGCAGTTGCAGAGTTATACCTACAAGAAATAATTTCAAAAGTACAAGAATTAAATATAAAACCTGGATTAAATTAAATACGTAACTAATGCCACTTTATTGTTTATTTTCAGCGCTGAGGGCGAGCGTCAACTCTACGTCACAGTGTTATAAGAAGGCACGAAACCAGACATCCAACGTTTTTAATAGTTTAAGCAAAGTAACAGTTTCATAATTACACGACTACAATTCCCAGGTTTCTATCCTTTTTATTTTTGATAAAAAAAATATAAAACTTTCAGTTATAACCAATTATAAGTAATACACCACATATTATTCAAATCTCTACAAGCAATTTGCTTCTTATGTGGAGGAACGCCGAAACACACCGAAGAGCAGCAGTCTTTGGGGCAAGCAGGAAATTAGATAAAATGTTTATTTAATTTTGTAAAGCCGTGTGGTGACGGCAGAGTAGATAGAATACATTTGTCACCAACCCCTACACTTCCCACGGGTGTCGTAAGAGGCGACTAAGGGACTACACATCAAACAGAGAACGGGCAGCAGCGCTCTCTGAAAAACATCCATCTTTTAAACTGCGATCTCCAACCCCCACTATAGTGGAGGAGGCTCATAGTCCAGCAATAGACTGTAAAGGGCTGTTGATGATGATAACGAAAACACATTTGCACATAATAAGCAAAAGTTTAAAAGAGTAAAACAAAAACAGTAGCAAAAAAATAGTGACTTATTCATGCAAAAAACAAAAATCATGCGCTAAAGTGTGAGTGACGTAAAAAACAAAGAGCTCAGTGTAAACACTGTTCAAAAAAGAACAGAACACTGATTTTCAGCTCCTGCTTGAAACGATACGCTCGAGAATGGTTAAGAAGAACAAGCAGTGAAAATGTTGTAAACCTACATAGATAGGGGAGCGAGGGGCTTTATGTAACAGGGGTAGTAACAGTGCTTTTTCATTAGGACTTTAAACATTAATAACATTTTCTTTGACACAATCTTATCATTAACATCCCGCCCAAGTAACATTTTACTCCATTTAAGAGTTCAATAGTCGTTCACATGTACTCCACAAGCTGTGTATGTCAGCTGTATACGAGCTGTATAGCTTGCTATAATGCTTTTATAGAACCAGTTTGGGCACAAATTAGACAGCTTTAANGGTTTTACAAAGGTAATACGATAGAAAATAATACACAACAATAAAAACCACCTGTTATAGGGGCATTTTTTGGAGAAATTTATCAAATAACCAAAAAAACACGAATTTTTAAGCAGATTTTTTTCAAAAAGTATCATTTTTTATTATTTTTTGGCATTTTTTGTGTATTGTATGTATTTTTTTAGTATCGCCTGTTATTTAGCATTATTACTGTTTTTATTTTATCAGGATATACTGCTTAGTTTAAAAGTTATTACGTTTTCTTTACAATAAGTAATTGGAAGAAAAAAAATTCTATAAAAAATTAAAAAAAAATCTCAAAAATTTTTTGACCTCTTTTTTGTCGATAAAAATAGGTCTAGTTTTATCTATTTTCATATGTACACTTTAACGTGACTCACACTGTATTAAATGGGTAAAATTCTTGTCTTTATTGTTGTTACTATATGCCTCAATGGATGTTACGACAAACCCCAGACTCGGGTTCATTGTGACAGTTACTTTTTGGAAGAAAAAGTAATAATTCTGAAGATTTGATATTTTTTCAAACTAGACTTCATTAGAAGAACAATTTAGTTAGTGATAATGGCTTATTTATTTCAAGACAAGATATACCAATATGCCATTACTTTTAAAAATAGTTACAAGGCCCTCCCTATAATAAATTAGGCAAAGATCTAGCCAATGTATTTATATCATTTAGATACGCTATATTTATAAATAAAAGAAAATAATAAAATAGGAAAATCGAAAATAGGGATTCAATTAAAATAAGAGACACAAAAATGTAAAAATACAGTGCAATTTCGAATAAAAACTAATGAATATTTCGATTTTTAAACATCCGAATATAGAATCTAAATTCAAAAACATGATTACATTTTCCTGAAAGTCAAAGTACCAATTTTCAATTTTCCGAACCTCGTTACTAGGAAAAATTTTAAATCCATTGTGTTATTATTTAAAAAAAAAAGAAAACTTATTGATAAGCATTTAGTTGAATCCCGACTCACCGTGGTCTCTCCGTCGTGGTACTTGTCTGCCCAATGCTAGTGCGATTTTAAAGCTGCTCGCAGAGGCTGGTCGCAGAAGGGGGTTTAATTCCGTTGTCTCCATCCCGGCTAGTGAAGACAACGGGAATTTAATTAAATAATCAGGATTTGCTATGTTTTTATTCCCCCTGTCATCACTCTTCCGGCCGGAGTAATGAAAAACGGGAATGAAAAAAATAGTGAATTTCAGTTATTTAATTAAACGGGAATAAATCGCTAAAAGCAACCAGCAAACCGAAGCGAGCGTGTTAGAGAGGCATTTATTACGCATTTAATTTCGGGTTTATGTGTATTCTGATTTTTGATGATTTCTTTGAGGAAATAAAAAAAAATATTTTGAAAATAAAAAAGATGTAAATCTGGTAGTTTAAAGTCGTGCATTTGTATGATTGTTACCTTACTAAAACTGCAAAACGATGAATGTCCGATTTTGTGCCTTCAAACAGTGTGGCGCACCGTCGCGCGTCGGGCGCGGCGCGGCGAAGTGAATGGAGACTCAAGTTACACAGCACAAACAGGTAAGCCAGTACTTGATAAGAAACAGACTTAGTAATTTTTGTGCAGTTTGCGCCAACAGAATTTGATAACTGATTAAAGTATATATACCTACTAAAATAAGACCCAACTCTACCGTTTAAAAAATCAAAACATTTAAGTTTTGCGACATAGACACCATTTGATAAGCAGAAGCAATATCATTTAACTAAAACGCTGTTTTGTTATTCTTTGGTATAACGGTACTAAAATACGACCCAACTCTACCGTTTAAAAAATCAAAACATTTAAGTTTTGCGACATAGACACCATTTGATACCTAAGCAGAAGCAATAAATCATTTAACTAAAACGCTGTTTTGTTATTCTTTGGTACAACGGTTACCTACTTAGCAATCTCTACATTGCCTATTTCATTACAAATTACGACACACATTCGATGTTAGTGTTTGAGACAACTTTTTCGCAAGTTTGTCAATTTCTATTGGCGCATACTACATTATGTTAATATAAGAAATAACTCATTGAACCTCCCGTGTTTTAACAATGATAAACCTCTGAGCGATTTTTAAACAAACTTTTAAAAAGATTGTCAAAATACTTCATCATAAAATACATTATAATTGCAAAGCGAAAGGTATCTCACAATAAATTATGCAACATTACAGTTAAATGGAACTTTGATTAGACGAATAAAAGCTCATCTATGAAAAGTTTTGGATACAGTAAGTCGTAGCAGAAAATATTTTAGCAACTACGAAATATAAAAAAAATAACAAAATAAAAACAATAGACTATCCTCAAGGACTAGTTGGCAAAAAAAAGTTCAAATCTTCATGTACCAAAATTGACTTTTCACTTATTAAATTATTTTTAATTTTTATGGAATAATAAAATTAGTACTTGAAGGATACTTACTCCATTGTGCAAACAAATCCCTTTTTCAGGAACAAATCACTTGCATTATGAAATGACTATAAAGTAAAACCGCGTTAAATAATTATCAAAAGCCCAAAATTGGGGAGTCGTCTCTACTTTTGCCAACCCGTTCTTGTCATCCTTAACTTTTTTAACTCACTAAACTCTAGAATTAGCCTATAATCACTTCACAATCACAGCTAAAAGCCTAGCTCTCAAACAAATCACTTCCATGGACACAGCTAGTAGTATGGGCTACACAATATGTCCGCCTTTCGCATCGCCTCGGCATATCGACCGCATGGCTCGGCACCGCACATGCGCACTTTTGCAAATTCGAGTAGGAGTTGCCAGCTTGGGACTTTTACCCCGATATTGGACCAAATATACACGAATATTGAAAAAAATATACTTACGCAGTCATTTTTGCTTCACTTAAATTAAACAAACTTAGTGGTTTTTTATAAATGCACTTTTTAAAGTTAGTAATCTTAGAATTGACATTTCTAATTCACTCATACAAAACTTAGCTAAACATGTCATAATTTACATTTCTAGACTAATGCTATGCTAGATCTTATCTTATCATTAAACATTATGCTGCTAAAACTTATAACTGATTTAATTATAGACAATTTATTATATTAGATAATGAATATTTCATTGATTTGTGATGAATGAATTATCATGTGTAGTAGATATAACCTGTAAAAGTCGTCTCTACATACTACATACATAACTATAGGGACATTATATTTCAAATATTATGTAGTAGTTTCAATTTAGTAAGATGTTATCATTATTTTAATAAAATTTGTAATTAACTACAACCTGAAATTACTTGGCAATAAATTTATCTTTAGGGGTAAAAATATTTAAATGTGTCAACATAGGTCAGCTTGTTCAGCTGTGAGTCCCGAAAACTTAATTTAAATACAGCCTGAAAGCTACAGGTGGTATCGGGAATTCGAATTTCAGTATCGTGAAATAGAACATGCTAATAATGTGTAAAGTGAATTTGTGCCAATTTATATTCAGTATGAAAATAATAGCTGTGCTTTTGCTGACTCAAGTGAAACTTTTTAATTTGTATTTTAATTCGTTTGTTATTTTTTTCCATGTAGGTAGTTATTCAGTTCACATTTTCATGTCGTGGAAACTTGTTCAATATGGCTATGGTAACTCATGGTAACTCTGTTCTAACTTTGAATAATTTATATTTAACTACAAAATTAAATAATATGTAAGTACCATCCTAGACTGCATCTCACATAACATCAAGTATGATTACGGTCAAATAACTGCCTAGTTCTGCATAAGATTTTTTTTTTACCATTGTATTATGTGACTGTGTATTAAATGATGATATATTTTATTATATTAATAACTTCGCAGTTAAAAAGGTGTATTATCATTTAATAAATAATAGCTTTATTTCTAAGAAGTAGTCAGACATAACATTTTCAGCGGCTTCTGCACTAAGCTCACGCTTGTATCGCAGCTGCCAAATAACACAACTCTAAAAAGTAAATAACAGTAGCAGTCGGACAAACAGTTTTACTTTTATGCTAGTGGCAAAATGATATCTAAGGTAATATTAAACATTGCTTGTAAATATTATACATATTATATTATGCAATTTTGTAAGAGTAATTTATAAGTATATCTTGTTTATTATATCTGATACTTACTTATTTAGGGCTCAACTATCGGCCAACTAAAAGTCGGTGGTTTGCGCCTAGGCTGGGCTTAATGTATGACCCTAAACTTTTTAATCCTCGATTATTCGATTATGTGCGATCTAACGAAATGTTACATTAGTTTACTGGTAATCAGTATTTATTTTGTGTGTTTACATTACCAAGAAAATTATACAGCAATAATAATTATATCTTAGCTGATTAAATAATTCATATTTTAGCTAAATTAGATACCCCATGAAGGGAGAATAAAAAATATATGTGCGAGGGTCCTCTTTCTTAAGAATATGATGAGCAGATGACAATTGATCACTCTTATCATTTCTTGAGAAAGAGAATTCAAGCAAATGCAACGTAAAAAACCGTACGCTATTAAAAAGTAAAAGACGATGCTAGTGTCAATAAACCTCACAACTTCAAACATTAATAAGACAAGAGAAGAAGACAGAAGAAATCACTTGCTAAAATCCCCCTTCTCAAGAAGATGACAAGAAGTTTATTATCACTCTTGTCGTTTCCTTGAAAAAGGGGATTAAAGCGAGTGCAACTTTAGGAAGAACGAAACATAAATGGAGAAACAGTACGTGAAGATTTTCAAAAGAGAAAACAGAATATGTCACTGCAAGGATCCCCCTTCTCAAGAAGATGACAAGAAGTTTCCTATCATTCTTGACCTTTTCTTGAGGTAGGGGTTTCAAGCGAGTACAGCTATAGGAAGAACGAAACTTAAATTGAGTGTTTTAAGCAGAAAAAGGCTGGTACATGACCACAATCACACTTCATGTTAAAAAGTGACATGCAGCGTAGGATGGTGCATACCTTACCTGTATGTGCATATTGACTCTGCCCTTGATTATGGCCGGGTCATCCGCCGACCGAATGATCCCGACATCGTCAAGTCGAGAGTGAATAGTGCTCAGGAAAGACGGTAGCAGAAAGATTGTTCCTTTTATTATTATTTATTTAGTTAAAAATTAATTCTTTTTCTAAAGAATGCTTATTTCTATAAACAATTTTAACCCTACCAACTTAACTTAAAAAGAAGATAGAAGACACTACTTGCAAAAATCTCCTTTCTCAAGAAGATGACAAGAAGTTTATTATCACACTTGTCGTTTCCTTGAGTTAGGGGATTCAAGCGAGTGCATCTTAAACGAAACATAAATGAAGAATGAAACACCACACGTGCAACATAGAAGACAGAAGATATCACTTGCTACGATCCCCATTCTCAAGAAGATGACAAGAAGTTTACTATCATTCTTGCCTTTTTCTTGAAATAGGGGGTTCTAGCAGGCGCATCAGAAAAATGAAACAAATGAAAAATGATACAAACCTCACACTAAAATTGTCTTTCAAAGGGTGATTTCCATAGTGCTGATCGGCCCTTAAAAATTTGTTATACTATTTTTATGTGGGTAACTATAATATTTTTTGTAAGTACTATCGTCCACAGTGTTAACTATCCATTTATCTCTGCTCTCGCTCTAATCAAATGGTGATTATTCGCGATAGATTGAGACGATATGACCGGCAATGGATAGTTAACACTGTTGCCGATAGTACCTAATGTATGTTCCTTCTTAAAGTCAAATGAAGAGAGAAGAAAGAAGACAACTCTTGCAATAATCTCCCTTCTCAAGAAGATGACAAGAAGTTTATTATCACACTTGTCGTTTCCTTGAGCTAGGGGATTCAAGCGAGTTCATCTTTAAGAAGAACGAAATGAAGAATTACTGCAGCAAGAGAACTACCAAGATGAAGTAAAGAAGATATCACTTGCACGTATCCTCTTTCTCAAGAAGATGACAAGAAGTTTGTTGTCTTTCTTGTCATCTACTTGAGGAAGCGGATCCAGGCGAGCTCGCACACTACAACGAAGGAAATTATCACTGATTAGGAAAATGTACGAGTATATTTCTATGTTGTCTAAATTGACTACACCGTTCTAATTTTAAGCTCATAACAGACTTATCAACTGGGAAAGGGATCAACACCGTATCGCCTTTCGCGAGCTGTCATCGCCTTTAGCGCGCTGTCAATCGCGAGTATAGATGACCCACGCTGAACTGTCCCACCAAACTCAATGACAGAGGGGCGCTACCATCGCTATAATTATGGTTTCCAACATGGCAAAAATCGGAACCAGCGATCCGGTATTGACGGTGGCGCCCCACTGTCAATGTCAGGGATAGGACAGTTCAGTAGTTTGGAACTATAGAGGCGTTTACAGTGCGGATAAATGTGTGTTGCAAATGGAGTTTCATACAGAATACTGACCGCCTCAAGTTGATACGGTTACGATCCCTTTCCAGGTTGATAAATGTACTGTCCTTTAAACTTGCACCAAATGTGCTCACTTGCAAAGATTTCTCTTTCTCAAGAAGATGATAAGAGGTTTTTTTATGTCACTCCTATCATCTTTCTGAGTTGGACATTTAAGCAAGTTCCGACAATCGAAGAACGGATACTTTTTTTTACCAAATGTGTTACTATACAGTTAAAATTTCAATGAAGAAGAACGCGTGAGAAGACAGAAGACAAAACTTGCAAGGATTTCCTTTCTCAAGAAGATGACAAGAAGTTTTACTATCATTCTTGTCATCTACTTGAGAAAGGGGATTCGAGCGAGTTCAACAACAAAACCAGCAAACCAGATTACCTACCTATGTATTTTTATGCACCTATCTAAACTTAGTTGTAGTAACTATTATATTTAATATTGTGTTTGCTTTTATTAAATAATTTGTTATTGTTACAAAATTATTCATGAATTGTGTATCTTTATAAGATTTTTTTTTTCTTATACAAAGTTAAACACCGTTTAGTATGGAAATGTCATTATTTGAAATTGCTGTTCAACACGCAACTTTTTACAATAAACTCAAAAGCGCAGTGCGGAAGCCGATCTTAAGCGGACAAAATCATACAAACAAAAACTTAATCTTAGATTACATAGGCAGTTTTAGTAAAAAATTAGGTACCTACCATCAATGTATTTTCAAGAGAATTAACGTTCTCGATGTTGATTTAATTTCAATTTTATAGTTGTCACGTAGACCACAATTGCATTTAAAGGCGCAGTCAGATTTTTATTTAGGTGGAAAACAAGAAAAAAACTACGATTCAATACGTTGACACCAAAATAAAATGGTAGAGCAGGGGTCCCTTGAGAATTTGCCTATTCTTATAGGCCACTAATCTTCCAAATAACTAAATTTCCAAACACTTACAGTTCGGGCGACGGGCAAGCAGTACAACGAGCAAGAGCAACTACTACAGCAGCTGCAACTATTGGAGGACTAGCCACTACTAGAGAAGTAGCAACCCCTGGAGGAATGGTCACTACTAAAGGGATGGCAACTACTGGAGCAGCGACAACTTTTGGAGAGTGGCAACTACTAGAATAACAGCAACTCCTGGAGGTGTAACCATTACTACAGAAGCGCTACCAGGAAAACGGCAATCGCTAGAGCAGTGGCAACCATTAAAGAAGAGACAACTACTGGGGCAATGGCAACTACTGGAGTAGTGGCAACTGCTGGAAGGAGTGGCAGCTATGCACGTCCCTTGGATGCGGCCTCGTAGAAGAAGAAGATATTAAGGTACGAAGGTTGATTTCCGAGAGAATTTAGCAATCTTGCCTTTTATCACATGATTGCCGGGTTCTATTGGCAACGACCGACCTTATTATGTATATGACGTACTTATTGTATTTTTCTTTTTATATGATATGTATTTTATGTATTATATGTCCATATACAGGGTGTCACTTTAAGTTAGAATCAAACAAAAATTATTGATTCTACTACTCAACTGCAACATATATTCTACAAAAAAAATATTCGAATTCTCAAAAAAAAAATTACGTCCCCATACTAATTCACTGATTACTGATGACAATTTGTATGGCAAGGTTAATTTCTTTTTGTAAAATTTAAATATGAAATCCCTTGGGGAAAGTTGTTGTATTTGGACCGTAGAATTAAAACTTTTTGTTTGATCTAAAAACTAAAACTGATAAGCTGTATAAAATATTTTGATGCACCTTTCCTCCTATTTTTATTTTTTATTTTGAGTCGTTTTCTGAGAGAGTTTAGCAACTGCCCAAAACGACGGCAGCTTGTTGCCAGCCAAGGAGCGTCGAGACGGCTGTTTTAGACGTCGTTTCTTTTTACTTGATTGCCGCGTTCTATTGGATTCGTCTCTCGCTTACAAATGATACAGTTTGATCATTTATGGTGGCTTCTCCATTTTTAAGGGTTCATTTCCAACATATACTAGATCTTTAATCATCGTCATTATCAACTCAGTCCACCGTGGACCATACGCCTCCCCGTATTATCCAGATTGGTAGCGGTGTATTGCATCCAGTTCCTTTTTACAATCTTTATTAGGTCATTTGTCCACCTTGTGGGTAGATATCTTACTCTGCGCTAATACGTGGCCTCCATTCCGGTACCTGTCTGCCCAATCGTCTCTCTCTCCCTTTCTGTTCAACTTGCTGATCCATCAACCTATGTCAATTACTTTAATTCGTTTACTGATCTCCTCATTTAACATTCAGTCTTATAAAAAACATAACCCTCCTTCTGACGCAGTCGGGTAAAAACATCGAACACAGCTCTGTCCATACGGAACTATTCTTACCGCTTGTTCCCACCGCTGCAACTCCTGTGTAGCCAGGATCTACAGCTTGACCTTGACCGCCAATAAAAACCCAACCAGGTCAATGAAGGTCAAGTTTGTCCCGGGAAAAAGTTAAACTGTCATTGGACCCGCAACAAAATTAATCAGAAGAACATAGGAGGAGTTCGAAGTTAAGGTTCGACTTCCCTCCATTGCAAAGCGGGTAACAGGTGACAAACAAAAGTTTAATAACCTTTAAGAAAAGATATGCACCACGGACAATAAATATAAAATAACGGGGACCTATCTTATGAGCAATTAACTAGTTGCCTGCCAATAATATTTTTCAGAAAATCGCTTAAGCACGAAATTTTTTCCTTGTTGCGACAAGTTCGGTGTAATAAATTGCAGAAACAGATATTATTGAATTAAGCATTATGTCACGTTCATTTTTCTAAAGATCACACTCCCACAAGATATGATGGGCAGACTGCTCATGACTGACATCAGTGGAACAGCTCTTAGCTCTGTCCATAGCACACTGTGCTGAATTTCATGTTTAGGCACTGATCTGTCTTGAATAAACTGTTTACTACGTTACTTACTTTAACTGACTTAAATAAACTGTTTCATGAAAAACAATATGGGTTCACAAAAGGGAAAAGTACGACCGATGCAGGGGTTGCTCTTATCAAACACATTTTCGATGCTTGGCAGGAGAAAAAAGATGCTATTGGNTGAGAAGCCGTCAAATATTTAAATGGCGTTTCAGTATTCGGCCGTGAGCCCGACGTTTTTCGTACAGGACCGCACACGGTAAATTGTATGACAACTGCGTCGGAATAAAATTGACAATTACCAATAGTTAGGCTGGGTTGCACCATCTTACTTTAACTTTGACAAACGTCAAAAATCTGTCAAACTCCATACAAAAAGCACCGGTTATCGTTATAATTACGGTCAAAGTTAGGTGGTGCAACTCAGCCTTAGTGTGCGGTCTTGCAAACGCACGACAGACGTCCTGCTGGAAACGTTTAATTTGAAAGAACCCTAACTTTATATGCCCCAGCTCTATAGCTCTTTATTATCAATGGATTTGTACACCAAAGGTTTGAAGTATCGAGTGGGTTGTACTCGACGGGCTTGAACCACGGGCTGCAGATCCTGAACCAGAGTAGGCAGATGGTCATCAAGTGCTGGACCAAACGCAAGAGCAAGGAGTGGATGCAGTGTTTGAAGACCATCGCCAATCAGACTGGTAAGTCTAACTTTCTACTGCTGCTCTTTTGAAATGAAGATCATTCACCGTTAAATTAATGTTATGAAGTAAACGTTATGGTTTACGTACTATCGGCAACAGTATAACCTACCCATTGCCGGTTGTGTCGTCTCGTTCTATCGCAAAGAATCACCATTTGATGAGAACGAGAGCAAAAACGGAAATGTATAGTTAACAGTGTGACCGTGTGTATAGCCTGACCAGGAACATAAAAACCCTCGCCATGTTGCGGAAAACTAATGGTACTAATTTCTTTTAATGGCAACAGTAACTGAAAACTTCATTGACATGTCACCATGCATGTCAGTNCGCGTCTTAAGATCACATTCACAGTCAATGCCCTATCATACCAAGAGGTACAATGAGTGGGTCTGTGCCACCGTTATATTGTCTGCAGATAATGTATATTTTTACGTTCGTAAACTTGTTGTTTTATTTTATTTAACAATGATTCAACAGCATTTAATTCACTTAATTGCTTTCAACTAATTGGAGCTTTCTGTATTTTATTTGGTATCAAAATTTATCTATGTACGATGTAGTGTAACAGTTTTGGGGTTAGTTGTAACAAAATATTGGGGTATGATGTAACATCGTACATCTTTTTACAAAAAAGATGTATTATACAGTGTGAGTCACGTTAAAGTGTACATATGAAAATAGATGAAACTAGACCTATTTTTATCGACAAAAAAGAGGTCAAAAAATTTTTGAGTGTTTTTTTAAATTTTTTATAGAATTTTTTTCTTCCAATTACTTGTTGTAAAAAAAACTTAATAACTTTTAAACTAAGCGGTATATCCTGATAAAATAAAAACAGTAATAATGCTAAATAACAGACGATACTGAAAAAATACATAAAATACCCAGAAAATGCCAACAAATAATAAAAAATGACACTTTTTGAAAAACATCTGCTTAAAAATTCGTATTTTTTTGGTTATTTGATAAATTTCTCAAGAAGATGCCCCTATAACAGGTGGTTTTTATTACTTTGTATTATTCTCTATCGTATTATCTTTGTAAAACCAAAAATCGCATGTCTCTATCCCTATCACAACATTTGCTATGATCGTTTGAACAAAGGCCTGCCACAACATTATTCTCCGCTACAGGTAGAGACAATTTTAATTGTAACTAAAATGCTTATTTTACTTCGAAATTTTTTGTTTTTATTTGAAATCTAACTTGTCTTTATCAAAATTACAAATCTAGAGCCATTTTCAGTTTCGTTGTTAACGAAGCGTTGAATGGCGCGCCCGGAGAGGCTTAGTTCAAACGATCATTGCAAACGTTGTGATAGGGATAGAGACATGCGATTTTTGGTTTTACGAAGATAATACGATAGAGAATAATACAAAGTAATAAAAACTTTCGGTTATAGGGGCATTTTTTGGAGAAATTTATCAAATAACCAATAAAACACGAATTTTAAAGCAGATTTTTTTCAAAAAGTATAATTTTTTATTATTTGTTGGCCTTTTTTGTGTATTTTATGTATTTTTTTAGTATCGCCTGTTATTTAGCATTACTACTGTTTTTGTTTTATCAGGATATACCGCTTAGTTTAAAAGTTATTACGTTTTCTTTACAATAAGTAATTGGAAGAAAAAAAATTCTTTAAAAAAATAAAAAAAATCTCAAAAAATTTTTGACCTCTTTTTTGTCGATAAAAATAGGTCTTGTTTTATCTATTTTCATATGTACACTTTAACGTGACTCACACTGTATAAAGACAGAGCGGACAATACAAAGTCTTACTATATAATCTGTGATATTAAAGTGCCTAATTAATAAATAAGTAGCTAAGTTAGTATTGAAGTAAGTAATAATAGTAAAAGTATATTAAGTTTAATTATTAAATAGGAGAAACATCTTATATACGTAGCTCATTAATTTTGTTAAGCAAAGCATACGGAAGTGCTTTGTTTTTAACAATATACAGTGTGAGTCACGTTAAAGTGTACATATGAAAATAGATGAAACTAGACCTATTTTTATCGACAAAAAAGAGGTCAAAAATTTTTTGAGATTTTTTTTTAATTTTTTATAGAATTTTTTTTCTTCCAATTACTTATTGTAAAGAAAACGTAATAACTTTTAAACTAAGCGGTATATCCTGATAAAATAAAAACAGTAATAATGCTAAATAACAGGCAATACTAAAAAAATACATACAATACACAAAAAATGCCAACAAGTAATAAATAATGATACTTTTTTAAAAAAACCTGCTTAAAAATTCGTGTTTTTTTGGTTATTTGATAAATTTCTCCAAAAAATGCCCCTATAACAGGTAGTTTTTATTGTTGTGTATTATTCTCTATCGTATTACCTTTGTAAAACCAAAAGTTGCATGTCTCTATCCCTATCACAACATTTGCTATGATCGTTTGAACTAAGCCTCTCCGGGCGCGCCATTCAACGCTTCGTTGACAACGAAACTGAAAATGGCTCTAGATTTGTAATTTTGATAAAGACAAGTTAGATTTCAAGTAAAAACAAAAGATTTTGAAGTAAAATAAGCATTTTAGTTAAAATTAAAATTNGGTGACTGAGTTTGTTCCGGCGTTTCTTCTCAGCACTTGCCATATGTTTGTCTCGAAGCGCTGGTAGGGCCCAAAAGATAAGGAGACATGTAAAGTGCCCCATAAGGGCTACCTTTTTCTTTTTTTATTATTTTCTATTGACGTTCAT